AAAGCAACCGAAATGATTTGTCGCCTGACCGACTTTTAGGCTACCATACACCTCCACTCCTCTCCCATTTCTCTCATCGTTGCAGAAGAAACGCGGGACAGCCACTCTGGACATGTCAATATGTTCTTAAAGTTGTCTGGGCGAAACTCGCTTGCCGCTACCGACCTTTCGTATAGCTGTGTAAACGTCTCCCTGGCTAACGTCAATTGCGTACCAGTCTACAACAATCCCTCCGTTTCACCTCTGAACTTTTATGCTCACGTATTTTGGTGGTGTGGTCGCTATGTTGGATCATTTATGGCAAAATTTGCATGTTTTGAGGCAATCTCTTTCCCATGGGTCTTTTCGCTTTACGTAACGCGCATCTAACTGTGCGGAGTTTGGTTTTGAGGTAGTCCAAAACGAGTTTTACGACAAGTCGGCGCTTTGCGACAATGTGAGTCGGCAAGTTCCGGACAGAAAACCGATCTGTGGAGACTCGTCGTCGGAGTTTTTTTTTTTTTTTTTTTTTTTTGAGAACAGGCGAAAACTAATGCGCGCGTGGATGTCATCCATAAAATTAAATCGGTGTAGCCTAAGTCACATACAAAACTTGTTCTGCAGTACAAAACAGGACATGGATCATACAAATTGATGTGCAATGACTCCAACAAAGGCAAGTTTGATACAAAATAGAAATTAGGAACGCTCGGCACCTTCTTATAATGTCTGAGCATCGCACAATATTTGTTTATCCTCTGAATCTTGGAAATGGTGTGGTAATATTTGATTTAAACTTGGCATATGATGGGAAGACTGTTTTCCTGTATTCTTATGACATCCCAGAAAAGTAGGTACTACATGTTGCATAGTCCTTATATGTACATTTGACATTTATTTAATCACCTCTAGCTTGACGAGATAGGAGTATTAAGGAGGTACATGGAACTTTAATGAGTGAATCTTAGATCGATATATTAGATTAAAATATGTATGAACAATCACATAGAATAAAGTAGAATTTGTTAATATTTGAATATTATTCAACACTATAAATTCATTCAAAGAGATTTTCTGAAATTCAGTCACTAAAGTTACATTTAGATTCGACATTGTTATTTTGTACAGTGTGGACATGTTCTAAAACATGCAGGTGGTTTGCATGTCTTGTAGGTTCAATGCTAACTTTATGAGCATGTACATGTGTTAATGTGGTTCCATTTGTTGAATCATTGCTGAAATTCGCATAATG